GATCTGTACTCATTTGTGTTGGTTTCCTTGGTTACATTTGCTTATGGTCTCTATCGTCTTGCCTTTGTCCTTTATTCTCTGGCTTTCAATACGGTGTCTTCCCCAAGGGTTCCAGTAGACAAAAAACTAAAAGCAAACTAAATCGTTTCTTTAATAAAGAGTCAATGATGCTCAATATTTATTAGATAACTGGGGTATCTATTGTTCTTTGGTCCCTAAGATTTTGTGAATGCGTGTGCTTCTTTTGTTGAATATGTAATGAAATAGACTAGCTACACCACATAGTGAGACAAAGGCAGAAGAGTGGGATTTGTGATTAGTAAGTGTTCTTGAAAAGAAAGCGATGATGAGCTTCAAAACAGCTGGTAGGCTGCTGGCATATACCCATAGTATGATTTACCTTTTTCAGGAACATTGTGATCTCAGTGGCCAATAGTCACATCTGAATACCTGTCCAAGAGCTTCGAATACCAGGTGAATTGCAGGACTGAAGCTGATGATTTCCACTTTTATTACACCGTATGCACACTTGGTATGACCGTTTCTATCATCAATCGGTGATTTACTTGGGCTTTCCTGTCTGTTCTTCCTTTCACAAAGGAGTGTATACTTGGGTCAACTCCCCTGCCTATAATGTTCATTCACATCGCTTTTCATCCGTTTGTGCCTGTGTTATTATTTCGAGCTCTTTCGTGCTTTACGGACTGTGGCATGTTCTGTGCGCTCTTTTGTTGCACAGCATTATCCGGTTTGTGTGCGAAGTTTGTCTCAGCCTTCTTCGATTGCTGTATCTATCCTAAGATCAACTTTTCTTTGCTTTACCAGCTCTGTTCACGGGGTACCTGATCCTTTATTCCATAGGGAGTGTTTCAGTTGCGTTGGGTCTTACCATTCGCCCATTGCTCACCAACGAATCTGCTAGATTCCTATGCACATTGTCCGGAAATCTAGTCTTCTATTGTTTCCGCTCGCCTTACGGATTTCTTTCTTTATCGTTACACAATTACGAGTCCAAAGGCCTCCCTGGGACAAGATTTTGACTTCATCTGCTATTTAGAGAGCTCCGATCTTCCGTTTTACGGCATTTCGACATTTCGTTTTGTTCAGCTTTTCCAGTGTAGTGATTAATCCTCAAACTGCCTTGACACTGCCAATTTCTATCGTTCCTCTGTCAATAGATACCATGCTATTCTTTTTGCAGCCTGCCTACCTTCCTCTGACGTATACCATTGAAGCTAGTCATGGATGTATGTGTCCATGAAGGGACCATGAAATCACTGCATCATACAGATTGGCTCAACGTTTTCTGAAACGTATTCGCCAGGATAAAATTTGGCTGGCTCCATTCTTCATCCATACGTTCCTCCCGGATTCCGCTGCAATACAGACTGCCCATATCCATATCCTAGTAACTCATACCAATGCGGATCCCTTCTCCTTTCTTGAAGTCCTATCTCCACTAACATCTGACGATGTTTCAATGCTCATATAGAGGACACATAGTCAGGTTTATTTAATCTGTCAGATGCGGCCCTCCACCCACCTGATAACTCCTACAACAAAATAGATAGCAAGTCTCGTTCTTCTCTCTTATAGTACAAAATTGTAATGTTTGGTTTCATTTACTGCAATCGAAATCTCTAGTCATACTACTCTTATTCAGCTTCTATTTGATATTTTCGACTTTGACAAATGCATTCGCTGCTTTTCCAAGATGGGCAATATACCTTGGTTCTCATTTACCCTAGAAAAGAGCCCATCTGAAATACAAATTTTGACTCAGTCCTATCTCCGAAGCTTCTTTACTTTCAGCTGTCATCCCTCAAACAACATTATAGCCCTCCTGCGTTAGTTTTTTCAGCTATGTTTTTGCTTCTGTTCGGTAACACCATTGGTCCATGGCATTTGATAATCAACCTCTTTGCTATGTGAAGATACTTTGTGATAGCCACGCTGTGTCCGTATCTTTATTTAAATAAGATATTAGTCACAAACGTCTCCCCAGCTTCCACAGCCATAATACTGTTCTTTAATATCACCTTTTTCGTTATCAATCGCTGTCATCTACCTACACCCTGAACCATAATAAAAACCAAAAGATAATACAGTGATTATTTATAGTTCTTTATAACTCCGAATTGCCTTTGGCGCTTATCTAATCCATAGAAATGATTGATGTATAGCTGTTGATCCTTCTGCATGACATCTTGGCGGATGTTTTGAGATTTGCACTTTAAAAATAGCCCCTGGCGTTATTTGATCAGCCAAGTAATACACTTCGTGCTTATCACTCAGTGACTGGAACGTTTCAAAAGACTTAGTGCCATTTCCTTCAGTAAACTCTAGCTGATAGAAGTTAAGAAGAAAGACAGTATTTTATTCTCATTCCTCTTGCTGTAGTATCAATATGCTTGATCATGCTTTTTTGTTTCTTTGTTGACTGAATACCTTTAAGCCTTTCCATAGAATTAGTCATCCATATTCTTGCATTATCTGAAAATAAGGACCCATACGGTCCTGCCCTCGTTATGATACTCACTATGGCTGTCGTTAACTTGCATCTTTGTTATAGTCTCTTTGTGTCTATCAAGATTTAAAAATATAACTGAAAGTAAATATTTACTTTCCTTTCTAGTACACAACGATGGCTGAGATAAGAGTTCTAATAAACATCAGATGAACTAAATCAAGAGCTTGTTTCTGTTACGCGTCATGCAATTCATGTTGTTTCCTTCATTTATCAAGCATAAAAGAGTACCTTTTGCATGAGCTACTTTGTCATTACTATTTGTACATATTACTCAGATAACCAACCTATTGCTTGTTACACTCGATAGTACTTCTTTCATGCAGATATATTTATTTCTATATGAATTGTGCAGGAAGATCAACATAGCTTTAAATATAAAAGGAATATAAAAAGGGGACAAGTTTAACTTCTCTTTACTGTATTCATTCGTCTGTTTAATGAAGCTATCTACCATCACACTTGCTTTGCTTACTGCAGCAAGCCAATTGACTATTGGATCAGCTCAAGAAACGTTTGATCTGGCAGCTAACTTCCGTGAACCAAAGAATGTTCTATTTGCTTGTAACATGGGTGGAGCATCTCATATCGTTTGGGTATTAGAGATCCTCGAAGAACTAGCTGCTAGAGGTCATCACACTATCTTTTACACAAGAGTAAGTACACAAAGATGATAACAACTTCACATACTGATGGCTTTTATAGGAAGATCAAGCAAAGTTTATCAAAAATTATCCTTCCGTTGAACTTGCCTTGAGCGGCCCCGCTATATTTCAGTCAGGAGGATCTCGTGCTATATTTGAAAAGATACTTTCTATGGAAACAGTAGAAAGAGTTATTGACATGGAAAAAGGCTTTTTCACAAACTTTACAAATGGTATAAACAATACAATTCTTACCAAATACGGTTGCTAAGAGCTATATATAGAATACTATAAGCATCGCAATATAATCGACGAAAAGAACATAGACGTCATGTTATGTGACCACCTTAACATGGCTTGCGTGGAAGCTGCCAAGTCAGCCAAGATACCCAGTATTATAACTTTAACAATGGCTCTAGGCCCTGGTAAACTACCATACACACTGGTGTCTTTCTATTTTGTACTCATGCTTTCATTAGACGCTTCTGCACCATATATTAACTCCGATGCGGCTAACCTTCATCGTCCAATAAGCAAAGGTGTTCCATTTCACGAAAGACTTGCTGACAGAGTCATCAATCCTTTGCGTTTCTTCATAGGCACTCGATCGTTTGCCAAGAGAATTGCTCAAGAACAAATGTCACTTGGTATCAAGCCCACAATTACTCCTCCAAAGAGTTGGGAAGACAGTATCAAGATTGTGAATATCGCCTTTGGCTTTGAATTTCCTCGTCCTCTCGGTCCTTTGGTTGAACTTATAGGTCCTATTGTCCCTCAAACATACCCAGCTCTTAACACTGAACTTCGAACCTTTCTCGATCATCATCGCAAGGTCGTCTATGTCGCCTTTGGTCAATGGGCTGTGCCCAAACCAAGTGATATCAAGCTCATCTTGACAGCCTTGCTTGAAAATATGGAAACCAAGCATATTGACGGCATCATATGGTCTACTCGTGGCATTCGAGATCTATTCCCTGATATGATTACCACTCGATCTAACACAATCTATGATATCAACAGTTTCTTCACAAACCCTGCTGGCAACTCCAACATCGCCTTCGTTGACTGGGCACCTCAAGTCGCCATTCTTCATCATCCTTCTACTTGCCTGTTCCTCACGCACGGTGGTGTTGGCTCCTTATACGAGTCAATGCATGCTGCTGTGCCTGTTGCTGTATTCCCCTTTTTCTGTGATCAACCCGCTACTGCTGTTAGTGTTGAGGATTGTGGTATTGGCCGTTGGTTTAAGCGAACACTGAGACAAGATCAGGCAACTGAATTGGTGAAGGATATCGTTGATGATCCCACAGGCAAGTACAAACAAAACGTTGGCAGGTTCAAGGCACTGGTTCAGATTAGAAATGCGCGCGGTAAGCAGCGAGGAGCTGATCTGGTAGAAGAGGTCATGTTTACCCATGTGGATGGAAAGATTGAACAGAGAAGGGATGTTCGTCGAGATCTTTCATTCTTCAAGGCAAACAACTTGGATCTGTACTCATTTGTGTTGGTTTCCTTGGTTACATTTGCTTATGGTCTCTATCGTCTTGCCTTTGTCCTTTATTCTCTGGCTTTCAATACGGTGTCTTCCCCAAGGGTTCCAGTAGACAAAAAACTAAAAGCAAACTAAATCGTTTCTTTAATAAAGAGTCAA